AGCGGTTCAACTCTGAGTCCCTCCCGGATGACCGAACTTCTCACCTTATCCCTAAGGGAGACACCAGCCACCCTGCGGAGAAAACCCATCTCGGCCGCTTGTATCCGCAATCTCGTTCTTTCGGTCATGAAAGACCGCTTTACCACTGTGTTTTTTTCAAATACTTTTGCAGTGTGTTTTAATTAATGGAATTTAATTGTAGCATTTTGTTCACCTAATTTTCCTCCTCTATAAGTTGTACTGAGCTTTACCTTCTGGTGTCAAAAATCAAGATAGCGACAGAAAACATTTAGATTTCAATATTCTGAGGCTCTGAGCCCCATTTATTTTCCTCGCGGACGGCAAAAAAAGTCAGACATTATACGATTTAAAAGAAAAACAATAATCTTGGCTTGATATTGAGTAAGAACATATTTTTATGAACCACACAGCTTCAAGACCCCGACCGGACAAAAAGACGTGCTGCAGGCACGAAACATACTACCAATAGAAATACATTACTTTTAAAATCGTTCTGTGTGACACGAAAAAAAGGGGGAAATCGTGTTGGTGAACACGAATCAATAGATTAAATGTCGTGACCATAACACAAAATACCGTGAGACTTGGTTGGACACACACACACACACACAGCTTTCAGCATTTAAGGATGAGGCAAAATGCGGCTAATTTAGACAATTTAAATCACGACAAGTAGCAGTGTGTCAGGAAGACAATTAAGGGAGCGACAGATTGAGTCAGTCAAAGCACTAGCAGAGGATTTTTTTTCAAACTGTGAGGGTAGTACACTTTCACACAGAAATGACGTGTTTTTTTTACAGAAGGATTGATATACAGATGAATCGTGGCACGTGTTTCCAAGAGTGGATTAGGTCATTAGTTGGAATTAGAAAGATAAATAGGTACAATGAGACAGATCTGAAAAGAGAGGGATGAGCTCTATTTGCACCAGATTTATCTAGTGACCTAAGAGCTTAACCTTTATCCTGACAGGATGAACAATGAAGACACCCCAAGCCAGGACAATGACAGCATTAGTTACTGGAACTAACACTTAGAATAAGCATTGTTTATGGCTTTTAATAATGACTGTCCTCTCAAAACACCTTCTCAAATGCTTCAGCTACTGTTACGAGAGTTTATATAGTGTTGCCACAGCAGCGTTTGGCTGTAAACATGATGAACATTACCTGCAGTGCTACTGTTGTGTTATTAACAATATAACTTCAGCTAGTAAGGACGTGTCACCTGAAGAGGCTGGTGCTCAGTTCTCTTTATTGCATGTCTGGGCCAAGCGGCACACTCTGGGGCAGAGCCGGGAGGCAAGTAAGGAAGTGCCACATCCTGCAGTTCATATATTGGCCGACAGGCGATGACTATCGGCCAATTTCCATAGACCCCCATGTTGAAATGCCCAACTTTACAGCAAAAATAAACATGTTTCTACCCCTGGATGCAATACAAATTATTTGGGATATACTTCAATTCCACCTTCATGATTATTAATTGTTGAGTGAATTGTTTTATAACGCAACCTTTTTATTTATATTAGGTCTTAAAGTGTTTGCATAAATTAGGGTGTGGTCAATTTGATGGACAGGTACATGCCTCACTGCCAGCTAACATAAGGTGACCAGATTTTCTAAATTAAAACCGGGGGAATTTTTAGTTTTGCGGTCAATATATCATTAACATATCCAATTTTCTTCACTGTTAAAGAAAAAAGGGGGACAATTCTGGTTCAATATAATTGGAACATTTTAACTGTTGGATACAAACAGAAGGACAATAGATCATATATGAGACTTCAAAGGTCTTTTATTTTGAAACTGTACATCAGATTGTCCTGATTCTCTCTGAGTGATTAGATGGGGTGTCCTGCTATCACCCTAAAGTAAAATAAGTCTTTGATAGTGGATAGTTTTTGTTTTATTCTTATCTAAAAACAGAGGGATGATAGCTCATATATGAGACTTTAAAGGTCTTTTTTTTTCAAACTTTACATCAGATTGTCCTGATATTCTCTGAGTGACTAGATGGGTTGTCCTGCTATCACCCTGGAGTGAAATAAGTCTTTGATTGACTTCGAATGACTCTTTGATTATGGACAGTTTCCATTAAATAATCATCAATATATAGATGGACAATAGATCTAATTTGAGATTTTAAACAGCATACATTTTAAATTGTGTTTCAGAAAGTAATGTTATGTTAGGAGTGTTGTGAGATGGTGTCAACATCAATTGAAATTTGTCACCCAGTGGAAATGTCAGATATGTCTTCAAAACTGTATACTTACATTTTACATTCACTCAGTTATAATGTGGTAGTTATACGTAGTTTGTTTTAAATTATTATTGATCACATTATATAGTACATATTTCTTAATTTAAGCTCCAGTATATATGAATATGTTTGGTGTGTTTTTTAGGTATATTTGTTATTGACCGAGTAAACACTTTTATTTTGAAGGCAGTTTNGGTCTTAGTAGAAAAGGTCTTAAAAGGAATTACATTTGACTTCAGGATTCTGAAATGCGTTAAAAGGGAAGAGAAATGTATGATTACAGGGTATATGTAGGAATCCTGAAGTCAAATGTAATTCCTTTTAAGACCTTTTCTACTAAGACCCTTTCCATACATTTTAAGACCTCATCGCCACTTCGAGTTTTAACCGGTTACCTTGGCGACACACTTTACCTCACATTGACTATATGCAGTATTGATTGTCCTTCCTCCTTATCTTCCAACCCTTTGGACGCAGACTTGCATTTCCCCATAACGATGTTGTTTAACAACCGGCGTAAACGGACCTTCGCGCGCTATCGAGCGTGTGATGTCTGCTGTTCAGATGACGTCAAACCCAACGGGATGCCATAAATAAACTACACAGAATCACACTACACACCTACGCAATGATTACATTCAGGCAGACAGTAGAATACAACCTCTTTGGACAATTTATACACTTATTGAAAACAAGCTACAAAATGTAATACCTTGGAAAATGCAGTTTAATACTTTTTAATAGCCTTCATTTTCGCTAAATTGATTTATCAACTTTAATACTTTTTAAGACCCCGTGGACACCCTGGATTAATAAAGTGTGGTACATTGTATGAAGAAAAAGTATCACATGAACATTATACTGATTCTTTTTGCTTTTCTGTACAAATAAACAGCTATGTGGCTTCTTTCAGAATCACAGTATACTCTCAAATATATTCCGCAGTTTTTTCATGTAACTTCAAATGTTCATGCATATTAGAAAGGAAACCGCTCTGGTGTTTTGGTTCCTTTACTCAGTAAAAAAGCCAATTAACAGATAGCTCATTCTTTTGATTGTTCCCTCATGCATAAGAAACGTTGACACCAAGAAAAGTTCATGTTTTATTTGTGATTTGTTTGTCCGGTGTGTTTACAGCAGAGAAACTCAGCAAGTGTCGGCTTTCCATCCACTAAAACAAACAATGTTCTTTTCACAGTCCATAAAAAGATCCTTCACCTGCATGTCATTGTGAGCAATTATAGACAAAATGTCATCTTTTTTTTTTTTTTTTTAAATAGTCAGATTTTGAGAAACCAACTTGAACATTTTCTTCCACAACAATGTATGACTTGCTCCGATTTCATAACTATACATTATAATAGAGAATTGGGGTTGGTAAGAAACCTCTTTTTAATTACTTTTGATTTAAAATTCAGCTCAATCAACTTTGATATACAATATCATTTGAAATGTGGAATCTAAACTGTATCCAATTTTAAGAGTTAAAAAAAATCCAATGTTGGTAAAACTGTGTGTCCTATCCTCCCGAGTTCATACACAGTGTCCAAATGCATGGAGTCAATCTGGTAATAAACAGTGCGTATTACTCATACGAATCACATGAACTAAATTAGATATTAAAAGGGGCTGCACATTACAGAAATCATGTTCGATTTAATATGATAAATATAAACAGTCTTGTGCATTATGCGTTTCTTTTTAGAATAGTGACCAAGGCCAGATGGGATTGTTGACAAACTAGTACAGTGGACATGGGTAAAATAACTGATCGAACATAAAAATAAATTGTGAAATTGAAAAGAATTAAGGCAGGTTTTTCCAGTACACATAAAAAAAGCCACGGACGGAAGGACCCCGTAGTCCTTAAGAAGCTCTCAGGAAAACGACAGCACCTTTAGGTCTCTGTGGTGAGACATGAAGAGGAGATCAAGCTCCTTAAATCATTTACAAAGGAGAGCTTTCCAGTGTTATTATTCTGGTGCTGTTGTCCTTCGTCAGCCTCAGAATTCAGTGTGGAACATTTGAGAAGGCCTGCTGAAATCCTCAACATGACCACAAGGCCAGACAGAGAATCCTCCTCCATCAGCCTGACTCCCTCTCTGTAGTCCTTTGGCTGAGAGTTTTGTCTTTTTAAAAAGTGCACATAGTGATCGAGCACAGCGTCTAAGAGTTGCTGACATCATATGTAGTAGTCCAGCTTGCTTTCTATCGTCTTGCAGCCTTTTACAGCGAACACTCTCTCTGTTTTGGGGAAGTAGACCACGTCTCGGGCCACCTGGTCGGCCACGCTCGGGTCCGGCTGATGTCCTCTGGCTATCATCTCGGCCATGGCACACTGCAACACGTGTCGGTACTCCAGAGGAAGGAACGGGACGAAAAAGTCCACCAGGTTCTTGTCAATCAAACTTGTATGCCACAGGCCACCTAGAAGAGGAGATTAAAAGATACTTAGAGAAGAAGTAGAATCTATGAAACTAGAAAACTTAGTTTCTGAATGATAATGATTGGGGCTCTAACGGTTCATGCACAGTGTTGCGCTGTTTTATAAAAAAAAGACTTTTGTGTGATGTGAGACCACAAACAATGAGGTGCATTTATCTGTGTTTCTACTCACTTTTCTTGTTGTTGAAAACCGCTAGAGAGAGCAATGTTTCCAGATCTTTCAGCTCGATCTCTTCTCGATCTCGTCCTGCTTTCCAGAAGTCTAAAGCCGTCTGCGTGATGCTCTCCCCTCCAGCATTACTAAGAGAAGGATCAACGACAGGAAACGTGTTAGAACTTCCTTTGAGAGAAAAACGATTTCAAATCTGTTTTCTCTTCAGTGAATCTCAGAAACATTCAACGTTAAAAAAATAAATAAAAAAAAACACTGCTTGAAAAGTTGAAACACACATTTAAGTGTCACTAGTTTGTTGATTTTGCATGATGTAAATACTAGCTTGTAGTCCCAACATGCCTACTGATGCAATAAAGTCTCAATTGTCATCAGTATCATTAAAGTGGCTATTGACACCGTTAAAATGTATTACATATAAAGTTATGAAAGAGATAAGGAGGAGAAGAGGCATGTGGAAGTAAGCAATGAATGTAAAATGTCGAAATCCTCTGTTTAACGCAATATCGGACACAGAAGACCGAGGGGGAAGTCTCCTACGTCACCACAGCCCCCAGAGAGGAGGAGCGAACAGCCAGCAAGCGGGAAGGACGAATGCTTGTGGGCTCTCTTCTGCTCGGCCAGCACTACGAGAGGGAGCTTTTCTCTCTCTCTCTCTCTGAACCATCTTCTGCTTGTAACATTACCGCGCCATTTTAATTAAAGTACCCATTTGAATCTTCTCAGAGACTCCATTAGTCTCCTTTTTTAAGGCTTCTCTCCTGGACGTGAGAATAACGAACAAAGCTATCAAAATCCAAACAACTCTTAAATCATCGATGAAATGTTGTTGAACCGGAGTATATAATACCACATCAAAATCCTGCTGGAATTTCATTTAATATCACTGAATTATTGCGCATACATTTAGCTTTTCAGTTCTTTCTTTTAATTTGTATCTACAAAGAGACAAGCATTGATTGATAGATACATTTCTATGGTTCAAATCAAAATGTCTTACAGGTCAGAATAGGGGAGTGCTTTCAGCTTCTCACCTGAGGAAGATGAAGATGGCTTTCCGATAAGAAACTCCATCCAGCTTGTCGTAGTAGTCCAGATACGGCTTTATGCTGTCAATCAAGCCGGGATGCATCTTGTCCATCTCATCGAAGATGAACATGGAGTGTGCACAGTTGGTGACATTTCCTTTGATCCACTGCTGCAGCTGAGACTGAGGAGAAAATGTAGCTTGTTGATATGAAAGACCATAGAATGTCACTGGGTTAATTTAAAGTAACTGGATTCTATCTCATCTGGATTTGTCCTCATACCTTGTAGGTTTCAAGTTGACTCGCATGTGGGAAGTGGAGTTCAGACGTGAAGATATGAACAAAGCTGCTGTCCATTCCCTCTTTGTAAACATTGTCAGCAATCAGCTGACTCACAAAGTTCTTCCCTGTGCCGGTCCATCCGTGCAGTGAGAGCACCAAGGGCTTCTTTGGGTTGTCGTTGCTCATGAATCCACTCACAGCTTTGAGGATAATGCGTGACGCTATGTGCTGTCCGTATAGTTTCCTGTCCAGGTCAACCTTGAGACCTGGAAAGGATCAACACGATTAGTGACTGGAAAAAGGCTGACATTTATCATGGTGTTTAATATAATCGAGATCCAGGCCTGTCGCGATAATCGATAAATTGACTTATCGTACGATAAATAAAAATGGACTCGATAACTTTTCTGAGCTCGATAAATTGCCGTTTACATAAAGATGTGACCAGCATTTTAGCCTGGAGCGCTGTGGCTGCCAGGCGCGCTGTGAGGGGCGGGGCTGACACACAGCCAGGTCAGAGACACTCCGCGTGCACGTGCAGCAGCGTAGCAGCCAAATTAATAATATAGCGACAAGCGGGAGACAACGTGTGACTTACTCACGGGGAATTTAAAGTGAAATGGAATTGGTTACAAAACCTAACTACACATCTCGATTCTCCGGTGTGGCAGTATTTTGGATTCAAACCAAATCAACGAGGCGAACCTACGGACTTGAATGAGCCGGGCGGTGTGTCGCATTGGTTTAAAAAAGGTAGCGACAAAAGCAGGCAATACCACGCATTTTAAACCACCTAAAACACAACCACCCCATTCCGTTTTTCCAGCTGGGAGCAAACACGGCTGCTGGAGATGGAGAGTCCCCGCCCGACAATGCAAACATGTTGGTGTTCCTTGCTCGAAAACAGATTTGGATATGGCCTGTTGAGGCATCTGGGTCTTTAACAGTGGACTGTACACTTGACTGTTGTTTTAAGGAGGTTTTTTTTGCTTGTGAGATAATGTGTGCTCATATTTATTTATTTATATATATATATGAATGAGAGAGAGAGCTCTGTTTTCCAGCCTGACTCTATTTAATTTATTGTTTTGGTTGTGTGCGATTTAATTAATTTATTATAATTTAATGAATTTGTTTTATTTATTATATATAATTTATATATTTTAATATTATTTCACATTTCATTTGCAATGTTGAATGTTCAATAAAAAGTTATGTTTGAAAGGATGTACTTGAATTATTATTATATATTATCATTATGTCTAAAATGGTCTTAAAACGGTGCCGACAATATTATCGTTTATCGCAATAATTTCCAGAAAAATGTATCGTCCAACACAATTAATTATCGTGACAGGCCTACACACACACACATACACACACACACCTTACACAAACCTCTCACACACACCCCTTAAGGTCCTTACACACCAAACTGACACTAAAGACGGAACGTCGCCTCACGTCTCTGCGTCTTGACCATGTGTCGCACTGGAACACACCGCAAAGACTTCAGCCGACGGCCAAGAAGCACGTACGAACTGCTCATGCGTGAGTGGCAATAACTCTCCTTACCAGCAGGTGGCGGTAGTGTGTGTTCGTCATTCAAAAGAGGCAACAACAGAAGACAGACTGCGTGATAACGGAGAGAAGAAGAACAGACTGCGTGATATAAACAAACAACAGATAGCGTGTTCCATGTTCACTCTACAGCGAGAAGCTCACGGGGCTTTCCCNATGGTCTTAAAATGGTCTTATCGTTTATCGCAATAATTTCCAGAAAAATTTATCGTCCAACACAATTAATTATCGTGACAGGCCTATCGAGATCCGAACATGAGCTTGAAAACGAATGCAACAACAATAATGTTATTAGGAATGGTTATCAAGCTGCAGTAAAGCTACTACTACTACTACTACACTTTAGTATTTCCATTGTATACTACTGAACACTTCTACTCCACTATATCACGGAGGGAAATTATAATTCTAACAATATACATTTTAAAAATGTCTACCTCTTTTAAAGTGCACTATTTGCGTAAGGTGCACCACTTTGCTGATGTGGCCTTTGAGTCAGACGAGGTGACCAACCCCCACAATAAAACCCAGCACCTGAATGTAATATTGAACTTAAATTGTGTTTAAGGTCTTCCAGACAACGTTATTTATTGTTAGAATTAGATTTGGGAATATTTGAACCCCTCCCCCGGTTTTGAGGATACAAAAACTCACTTACATTATCATCAGGGCTGCACGTTAATTTTAATATAGTCAACATTAGAAAAGGTTGTTCCTTCGGATAGTTATAAAAACAAATGATATACAAATGTGCATGCTTACCTGTTGCATTTAGAGCTATCCATTTAGGTTCGCAACTTTCATGTAAATAATTGTAGATAGTCCGCCCCAGAGTAGCACCGATACCCAAAACCAGCGCTGTTGAGAACGGCTCAAATGTGCTCACCAGAACACTGGTCGACAAAAAAACATGCAACAACAAATACAAGTGTGTCGCTTTCATCGTCAAAAACGCGTATTCCCGGACATTAGTGTTTGTTCTGCGTTAAAACAATCATAATAGCATTGTGCAAACCGCGCTACACCAGCAGGCTAGGCTAACAAGCTAACTGTAGCTTACTAGCTTCTTACAACGGACCACTTCCTCAAACGTCATAATCATGCGACAAACACAAGCTCTGGTCAAATCACATAAGAAATGTTTGAGACGTTTAATAAGGATGTTAAATAGATATAACAAGTATGACAGTTGGCCACATAATACGTTAGTGCGGATTAGCTACTTGTTTAGCTAACGTATGATGTGAGAGATGCGACTAACGTCAAACTATCCGCTGATATTATTATTATTATTATTATTTAGCTTAATGAGTAGAGTATTCAATGTATTCAATATGTTCTTTTATTGTGTATTACTTAGATACGTCTGATATATGTCCTTTATATTGTAAATGTGTATATACTTGCTGCTAATGTAGGCTAAATTGTTATTTGCTGCAAAAGTTTATTTTATCATATGCATATTATTGCATCTTTACATATGTGTAACTCTGTTTTCAAACACCTGTAATGCTGGTACACTGCTGGTGTAACCAAATCATTTGGGATTAATAAAGTATCTTTCAATCTATCTATATTATAGTTTAGTTCCTCACAAGACCACACAAAATGGTTGCTAATGTGTTAGCCGAATACCAGTTTGTTACCTGTCTTGTTTAAAGAAATCCACTCGGGTCGACAGCACTCGTTGAAGTAGTAGAAAATGTTCGGGTAGGTAGCTAAAAACCCGGTGAGAGCCGCGGCCATGCCCACCGCGATGCTGGTGCTGATGGGCTCGATCGCCTCCGTCGAGCCGCCGGAGCAGACCAGCATCCACAGCAACAATGCGTGCGGCTTCTTCGGAACCATGGCTGGTTAACTGCCGCTTCATAAAACTTGGATAAAAAAGGGAAAGAAAAGGGCAGCATGCGTTACATTGATCGAGTCAACAGACTGCTGGCAGTGGAGGCGCTGCTGTTGTCATGCACACAGGAAGCGTCATGACATCAGAGTCCAAAGGTGACGCTCACCTGAGAAATGAATTTAAAGAGAAGAGGTGTGATTTATAAAGACACTGCAAAGATTTACACTGGATATTCAATAGTATTGTACAGTAAAACAGGAAAAGGAAGTATTTGCCATTCATTCTATGACAAATAAATATTTGGCATAAGGTAGAATATTTTAAAAGCAAAACGGGACAAACAGCACAACTCCAGGATAGAGACATTTTACATACTTCCAAGGTGATCGTATGGACGCAGATTACATTTTTCGTACAGTTTATATATTATATTTTATGAAATGTCTTATTCATAAAAAGAGTAAACATTTTTACCAATAATCCAAAACAATATAGTAGCACTATTAAAAACAGTCAATAAAAAGGCAATTATAACGAATTTTGTATTCAACCAAATTATCTAATTCGAAATATTAAACTATTTGTCTTTTATGAAATGTTTTATTACTTGATATGTCTACCCCTGATGTGAACATTTGTGTATACAAAATGTACGATGTTCATTATGATCTTGAATAAATAAAGGGGAAAAAATTTGATGTTATTTATAATAATGGGCAAAACTACTGCTGTGAAGGTAGTTTTATTTTGAATATTCGAAAGATTTCTGTCTGAATGCTTTTAGCTCAGTTACACAAACTGCCCGACTTTGAACCTTCAGTTTTAACCACAGGTTTCACTTCTTGTTTCACATTTTAGGGCCTCTTCTATTTAATAGGAACATTATTTTTTAAATAGCTATCTTTTACTAATTGGTCTTGATTTTTCTCAACTTACATGTCAAGTGATCCAGTGACACAACAATAAATGCAGCATCATTAATACCTTGGAAAAGTAGGACACACCTTCTTCTATATTTCACATTAATATCTTCATGATAAATCATAATTTTTATGAAAATGATTGAGTTTTGGGATTGTATAACTACACTGGACAACTAGGGCACAACTCTTTTGGTAGTTGTTGGAAATACATTTTACTTTTAAATAGAAAACTACCAAGTTTAATCACCTTTACTTTGTTTTCCCCAAAGTGTTGACCTGATGATGGCGCCAGAGAACTAAAAGTATTCACATCACAAGGGAACTTGAGTTTCTACCCAGGTTTTTGACATTGGCTTGTGCCTGACTCCTTGGTCTCAATGTATAGATGTATTATACATCTTGAAATCAAAAAATAATATCAGAAATCTGCACAAAATGAATACAAAAATAAAAAGATCCAAACTTTTCTGTTGGATTTAAAGGTTTGTGGTGTAAAGGTATTTTTTATGATGCTATGATTTGAAGCCAGTACTGTTACAAAATTCGTGTTTATTTTTGTTTGAATATCAAAGTCATGGGATTTTTTGGACCTATCATATTCCTAAAGCCAATAAAAAATGTCTATGCCATATTTAGAGATGTTAAATGTTATCAGGCTTTGAACAAATCCTGTTGTGAAAACCTTCAGAATATAGACAAAACTGAAAAGTGTGTGTCTGTAAGGAAATGTATGTTTTGTATTTCACGTTGTATAAAAGGCTAGGTTTAAATAAGGCAATACCTTATGCTTTAATTTATTTTTAAATAATTTATATTGAATATATAAAGTTAGTACAATAATCACCTATAATTTGTATTTTATATATTTTCATTCCACTCCTCTGGAAGAATACATGTTATGGAAACATGGAAACTCAAAATGTACCAGTGCCAAACCATGTCACCTTAAGTACACATTTATGAAACTGTGCACGTTAGACTCTTCACAAAGCCCACTAAATCCTCTCAGGCATGTGTTTGTGTAGCTTTGACATTTCTCATTCAGTACTGGCCAACAACTTCTCTTGACATAGCTTATATTCCTTTAAGTGCCTGGTCGGGGTCAGGAACTGCTGCTGCTTTGGCCTTCAAAGCCCACTGAGACAATGTTTGTGGTATCTGGCTATAAATACTGTAATCTTGACATGACTTGATATATTTGAAAAGGCAAGCTCAAAAGTTCCTGTACATATTTTTGACATATGGGTAATGGAGCCCCTTCTGCTTTGTGTCATAAGGTCATCCTCTCTGGGAACCCTTTTATTTTGTGGTCATGTTTTCACTCTAGGGATCAGGCTTGTCTAATACAAGATAATGTAGTTTATAGATACCAAATGTTTCCTCCAGTACTTCACCCAGTTTGCCCCCCCC